ACTTGGTAAACCACAGAATCCCAAATGCAACAAAAGCCGAGGATCTGGACAGTAAAGGCAGGGGGCATCCTAATAGCCTTCAGGCTGAGCCAAAATAGCAAGGAGTGGGAGCCTGAATTTGGCAGTTAACTGTAAAAGAGTTCCGGTTTCCAGGGCGTCTCACCTACAGAAATGAGGCTGACCTATTTTCCCTAGGGCCCACACCCTGCAGCGTGGAAGGGGCCCAGGAACCTTAGGTAAGGTGGCCTTTCCGGCAGCACTTGATTTTGTTTTTAAAAGAAATAAACGACTTTGAGGATTTGGTCTTTAAAAGGCTAGCTCCAGAAAGTTAGTGAAGAAGGGCCCCGTCCGCAGCCAGATAGTATCTGGACAGATGCCCCAAAGTCTTGACACTAGCGAGCACGACGACCCTGGAGTGCACTCCAGGCAACTGCTCAAAACCCAATTCACACGCGCACACAGGCGACCTCCCCATCTACCTTCATCCTTTAGCAAGCACAACGCCCAGTCCCAATGGTTCTTTCACCCCCACCCCCACCCCGAGCCTTGCCCTTGCACGTAAACTCACCTCGTTCCCTCACTTAAAGCCCTTGTACTCGTAAGGTGGTTGTGTAGTCTCCACACGTGTCGTTCTCTCTAGAAATCAGTCTCTGAAGCATTCATAAGGAGCTGTGTAAGCACCCAAGCACCCGCATTCTTACTTGTACACACCTCTTCATCCTCCTCTCATGCTCAGGTAAGATGGGTGGATACGCTCATCCCCATTCATGCACACAAACACACATTGGCAATTCTCCCCCACAGCCTCTCATCAATAAAGTGCATGTGTATGATCTCGACTCCATTCACACACAGATTGAAAAAACAATCTCATGGCCTCTCACAAACACAAAAACGTGAATGTGAACACTATTCCCACCCCCCCCCCCCAACACACACAATGAGGTCGTTACTTCTGTGTCTGGCACAATGTTTCTCATGCATGGGGGGGGTTCCCTATGATCCTCTCATACACGCACACATTCTTTCTCTCTCTCTCTCTCTCTCTCTCTCTCTCTCTCTCTCTCTCTCTCTCTCTCTCTCTCTCTCTCGCTCTCATCCCCTTCATTCTCTCTCCGCATCCCACGCACGTGCAGAGAGGTGAGTTTACAGAGCCGCAACTCCCCTACCCCCATTCTCCAGCACAAACCGAGCCCCTTGCACACACCGTGGCGGCGCCTGCCCGTGGAAGGGGGGGGTAGGGGTGGGGGACACACTGCTGGCGGGAGTGCTTTCCTGGAGGCCCCCATTTTTACTCAGCTGTAGACACTGCAGTGCCTTGGCCGCTCTGACTCTGACGAAGTCACTAGGGTGGGGGTAAAGGCGGGGGAGACGGGGAAGCATTAAGGGGGAAATCCTATTAATAAGCAAAGAATTAAGCAGGTAATAAAAAGAGATTCAAGGAGGAGAAGGCGCTGAAAGCTTTCTGGGGCGGGGAGCTGAGCTCTGCGGCTGGGCTCCAGCAGCCCGGGAGGCGGTTTGGAAAGGCAGATGTGACCCCATCTGTATCTGCTCTGGGAGGACGCCTTGTTAGCCGGGTTGCCGTCTGGCGCTGAGGGCGGCCCCTCTCTTCCCCTTCGGCTTCTGCTTCGCCCCCCCCCCCCCAGCCTTTTCCTCCCCCAAATGCTTCTCTGTTGGGTCATAGGATTAGAACTGGACGAGACAGACGAGACCGAGGCCCAAGGGAGTAAAGAGACATTGCCCGAGGTCATAGTAGAAAATGGCAGGGTCCAGATTAGAACCTAGGCCCTGTGACTCCAGATGCGGTGCTCTTTTTCAAGGCTTTCCTCACACATTCGTTCCTGGGGTCTCTGAGGCAGCCAAAGAACAAAGCACCTCTTTACCTCCAGGAAAGGAAACTGTGTCACAAGAAGAAAGGCTAAGGCATTGATTGTAGCAAGGCACTAAAAGATTGACCCACACCTAGGAGAGACTCCCCACCGCCTCTCTCCACCATCACCCCCTTTCTATAAGATGCTTCTCCTCTTACATCTCCAAGCTTGAGCAGACCGGGTTGTGCATCAGAATCTGCATTATTCTAATCATAGGAGGACTGAGTGAAGACCTGGGAAATGGATAGAGAGCGTCGGAAATTCCATGGGGGAGGAGGGAACTCCGCGTTTGTGGATAGACTGGGGGAGACACAGATGAAGTCGTAAGTCACCTTTAGAACAGAAAAAATATATATATTAGCAATATGAAAAAACTTGGAGATACACTCTGTGTATGTGTGTGTGTGTGTGTGTGTGTGTGTGTGTGTGTGTGTGTGAGAGAGAGAGAGAGAGAGAGAGAGAGAGAGAGAGAGAGAGAGAATGAGAATACAGGAGAAGCATATTTATGGTTCATCGTTTTTCGTTTTCTGTTAAGCGCTCTATTAGCCTCTGTCAGAATAGACTTTCTAGCGACAATTGAAGTGTCGGTGGGAGTCAGGAGATCCGGGTTCTAATTCTAATAATAGCTATTTATGAGCTTTTAAATAAGTCATTTGACTTTTCTAGACTTGTACCTCCTTAAAGGGAAAAGGGAGGATTAGACTCCCATCTAGAACCAGTATCCTCTAAGTTCCTTCCAAATTCTTTATTCCAAGATCCCTTCCAAATCTTAGATTCTGGATTCTAAAATCTCTTTCATCTCTGACATTCTGCGGTCTGTATTCGAAGGTTCTTTCCATCTCTGACGTTGCGATCTCTGTTCTAAGGTCCCCTCCGCCTCTGGCATTCTGCGTTCTACCCTTCAAGACTTTTCCAATTTTTACATTCAGTGTTTTATGTTCTAAGGTTCCTCCCACCTGGAACATTCTGTGAATGACGGGATCTCGGCCTGGTACTTTAGGTAGGTGCCTCACCAGTACTAGGCTGGCCCCAAACAAGGTCCCCTGCTCCCCGAAGCCAAAGACAGAGGCCCTGGGGCCACGGAGAGGAACTGCCTGGCCCCGGCACAGAAGGGGTTACGGCCCCGGCGCCCCTGGACGCGGGTTTGCGTAATATCTTTATTAGGCAGCACTTCAAGGTAAGCGCGCAATGGAAACCAGATGTGTGGACGCAAGAACCGCAGGAGAGCGAAGACTAAAAATAAGGGCGGGGGCGGGGGGGACAGCGCGGTCCGAGAGAGCAGAGGCCGGGGGGGGGGGGGGGGAAGAGGGCACTGATTAACAATCGGAGGGGAGGCCAGGCGAAGGCAGGGGGAGACCCGCACCGAATTTTCTCTTCCAAGTTAGTGGTTTATTCTTGTTAATGGGGTGTGGGGGTGTGAGGGGGAATCTTCCCACTAGGCCTCTTCCTGCCCAGTTCTAGGTCCCACCTTGCTCTGTAGGCAGGGTTTCCCATGGACCCCTCCCTCCTTCCGCCACCCCTTCAGAGTTGGGCCTCTTTGTGGCTCCCTTCTGGCGGGACGTTTGCCCCCGGGCCTCGGCTGTCCTACGGCCCAAGCTTATTAGGGATGAGCTCTGGAGAGCAGGGAGGCAGTGACGTTTGGCGTCTCCCAGGCGCGGGGCTTCCCGAGGCCCCCAGCTCCCCTCCCCCACCCCACCCCACCCCACCCCGGGTGTCAGATCACTAACACTCCTTGGCTGGGGGGGGAGGGGGGAGGGGCGAGGAAGAGGTAGAAGGCAGAGCTAGGCCTAAAAAAGGGAGTGTGGCTTTTCCCAGGGGGAAGGGAGTGAGGGAGGCAAAGAACCCCGTGCCATCCTCCCAATTCCCTGCCATCTCTGCCCCAGTTTGTGAGGTGGCGGTGCCAGGCGCCATCGATATATGTAGAGGGAGGAGAAACAAGGCGGAGAGAGCCCCGTTTACTTCTCTTCGACCCTTTACCGTAGACAGGGAGCGGGAAGAGTTGGAAAGAACAGGGGTGTCGGGGAGATTCTGTGTGTGTGATGGAGGAGGGGTATGGAGGGAAGTCTTAATAGGCACCTTTAAGTCAGATGCCGAAAAAGTAACTGAAGTGGATATGTGGAAGTTCAACTTTCGTGGAAGGAAAACAGGACAGGAAGGCCAGGGCAAAAGACCAGGGGAAGGAGAGAAAAGGCTAGATTCTTGCATCTGCACTTCCACAGCCAAGGGGGAAAGATCCAACAAGAATGAAGTGAGGCAGGAACTCAAGAGATCTTCCTCCTTTCTCCTCCTCCTCTTCTTCCTCTTTCCCCTGCTTCTGCCACTTAGAACCCCAAAACAGCTCCACAACCAATTTCCTCTACTAGCTAAGATTTGTTTTGTTTTGTTTTGGTTTCAATCTGGAAACTATTTCTTCGTGTAACACCACCCTTCAAAAAAATTCTGACTGGGGACCCCCTTGTCACCGAGTGCTCGCGCTCAATGGGGACCCTTCTCCGCCCACCGTCCACCTCTTGCGGCCGCTGGGGCGGGGAGCGAAGGAAGAAAGGAGGAGCGGGGAGGTCGGGGACTCGGAATCTCTGCCACTGGGCTAGCAGCATCTCTTCAAGAGGAAAGGAAGGAGGGAAGGAGAAAGGAGTGGGAGTGGGAGGGAAGAGAGAGCGAGAAAGGATAGAAGGGAGAGAGAAAGAACAGGAAAGAAAGAGTGGGTGAGAGAAGAAAGCTAAAAAGACGGTCCTCTTTGCTCTTCAGAACTTGAAGAGGGCTTTGGAGATACGGTCAATTTTCCGAAATATCTGAATATCTTGACTGTTCCATCTGAAGGAGAGAGACAGAGAAGGGAGGAGAGAAAAAGAGAAAAGAAGAGAAGAGAGGAAAGGAGAGAGAGAGAGAGAGAGAGAGAGAGAGAGAGTTTTTAGAGCGCTGCGGCTGCCTCTCCTTCTCCCTCTCCTTCTCCCTCTCCTCCCTCCCCTCCCTCCCTCCTTCCTCCTCCTCTTTTCCCTTCTCTCCTCCTCCTCTCCTCCTCCTCCTCCCCCCGCTCGCTCACCTCCCTCTCCAAACGCTTGCGAAGGCCGGCGGCTGCGGCTTCTTGGCTGGCCCCCTCCCCTCGGCTCTGTCCCTCCCACTCCAGGCATGAATGCTGAGACGTGCGTCTCTTACTGCGACTCGCCCGCGGCCGCGATGGACGCCTACTACAGCCCAGTCTCCTCGCAAAGCCGCGAGAGCTCGCCTTCTTTTCGGGCATTCCCTGCGGCTGACAAGTTCAGCACCGCGTTCCTGGCGGCCAAGGGTCAGAGCTACGGTGAGGCCAAGTGCCGGGGCCGCTACACCCCTCAGCAGCAGCAGCCGCCGCCGCCGCCGCAGCAGCCCCAGCAGCAAGACGGGGCTGCGCCCCTGGAGAGCAGCGCGGGCCAGGCGCAAAGCGGCGCCGGGCCGCGGGGCTCCTTCAGCAAGTATCCGCCGCCCCAGCCGCCCCAGCCCCAGCCTCCACCGCATCTCTACCTGCAAAGGGGATCTTGCAAAACGCCCCCGGACAGCAGCCTTAAGCTCCCAGAGGGCAGCGGTGGTCACAACGGGCCCCTGCAGGTCTCCTGCTACGGTGAGTGACTCCGTACTTCTTTCCTTGGGGAAGTGCGGGAGGCGGGGAGGGATGAGGGCCGAGCTTTCCTCTGGAGGGATTCCATTCCCGCGCCCCGGGAACGTCCCGGTTGCCCAAGTCAGACAGCACCGGAAGCCTCGGAAGGGTGGGGCAGGAGAGAAAAGGCAAACCTGGGGGAAGAGGCAGAAAAGAGAAGGTCTGGGGGCTCAGGCCTGGCAAGTTGGCTCTTGGACAAGGACGAGGGGATGAAGTGGATAAAATTGGGTTCCCTGGTTGTCCCCACGTTTTTCCTAGCCGCCTCATAGGATAGTGTCCCAGTTCCATGGCCAGGCCACCTCACCCGAGCCGCCTGGGGACTCCAGGGGTTCGACTGAATTAAAAACACCGTCAAACTTCCAGTCTTCGAGCCTCCATCCTCCCTGTGGCCCAGGACGGATTTGGAATCTGGGGAAGGAGGCACTGCGGGCAGTATCTAGAATCTAGGGAGACGCAAAGTTATTTGTTTTTTTTTCCCTTGGGGCCGGGACTTCGGAAAATCTAGGGGCGCAAAAGTCCCTGGCTCAGGGCGATCACAGATCTCCGGGTCAAGCTTCCCTCCCGAACCCAGCAGGGCTGCCCTCCAACCCTTCTGTAGGTGGGAAGCGTCACAGGTGGGAAAGTTAATGAACCTGGGCTAGGTGACTCAGTTCTCTTCTTCTTCTTCTTTTTATATTTCCCTCCTCCTCTTTCTCACTTCTGACCCGAAGTCTCCTACGACTGTTTCTGGGACAAATACGTTTGGGGTACCCCCAACACTTAGGTGTTCCGGAGCTCCTGGGTTCTAGAAGACCAGAGATCTTTGGGTCCAGATCCCTGCAAGGGTTGGCAGGCAGCATTGGAGTGCGGGAGGGAGATGGAAGCATGAGGCAGGGAAGTTACTCCCAGATTTTCCTCCAGCTGAATCCTTGTCCCATCTGTACTCCCTAAAATAGTGCCGGAAGGTACCGCAAAAGGAGGGAAGTTTCTGAGAGTAAAGCGATGGACACCCCAAAGGTGGGACCTGATTTCCTCGTCCCTTGTCTAAGGCCAAGTCATTTCTTTTTCCTTTTTCCAGATCATAATTATCCTGATTTTATATGTTCACAGTTCTTCCCAGTTTACAAACGTATTTCGTCATAACTGCCCCAAGGTGAGGTCATCCCACTCTAGTAGAAAGCCCTGAGAGCTCAGTTCTCCAGGTGCTCAGTCTACTCTCTGCTTGGTCACATTTTTAGCTGTCTGTGTCTTTGGGCAAGTCATTTTCCGTTTGTGGGACCTTCAGTTTCATCACCGATGAGATGAGAGGGTTGGAAGAGATGGCGTCTAAGGTCTCTTTTTGACTTTCAAGTTTTGAAATTACATTTCACAAATGAGGAAACTGAGTCTTAGGGGGCTGGACTGACTTGCTCAAGGTCAGAGGGCTAAGGAGTGACTGGACAAGCCAGAAATGAAACAGGACTCCAGCGGCTAAGACTGGTACTCTTTCTTTAGCAGGGCCTGACTGTGTCCCACATCGAGTACCCTTTCATCCACTGTGGTTCCCAGGCTTCTATTTCTTGGGGAGCCCTCTATATGGGAGCATGCTAGAGTGGAATTCGACAGAATCATCTCTCTCTTTCTGTGGGGGATGCCTGGAAGGCTATGAAAAAGTGTAATTTGGTCATTTCTAGGATTCCCTCCTGAGCCCAGCCTTCAGTGGCCCTGAGGACTTAATTCCATCCAGAAAGAGACCCGTGGTTACCCCTGGTACGGGAAGTACTCCCATAGGAGCCAAGAAAGGGGTCTTGGGCTATCAATTTGCCAGTTGGAGTGACCTCTGAAAGAAGTGAAGATGGGGAAAGAAGCCATGCATTCCAAAGGGGTCAGGGTTGTATTCTTTTCTCCTATGTCAGGGGTTCTTAATCTTTTGTGTGTATCTTAAACCCCTTGGACAATCTGAAGGCCCCCTTTCTCAGTTATGTTTTTAAATTCATAAAATAAAATACATAAAATTACAATGGAAAGCAAATATATTAAAATTATACGTACATACATATACATACACATATACATACATACATACACACACACACACACACATATATGGAATGGAACAGGCTGTGGGTACAGTTGACCTTGAGAAACATTTTTCCTTCCTCAGGAAAGAAGGAAAGAACTGAGCCAGATCTAGGGCCCAAATGTCCCCTGACCTTCCATCTTTCCCCAACCAATTTGCCCCTACAAAAGGACTTAGCCAGACTGAGACTTGGTCTCTTTTTTAATCTCCCCTGGGTACCTGCAATTCAGTGGGCATTCAGCATAAACTCATGCCACCTGTTCATGCAGAAAACTTCCACAGAACCTGACAAAAGGACCCAGTTCCCTGAAGGAACAAGCCATGGGAATGGGGTTAGGCAGGGGTGTAGCTTGAACTAACTTGGAAGAACAGTACTTCATTCTATATTTCCAACTCTACCACTAACCTGTAACCTTGAGGGAGTTGTTTTCACCTTTCCAGTGTAAATTTCCTCATCTGAGAAATTAAAGGGGTTGAATTAGCCTGTCTCTAAGATCTCTTTCAGTTATGAAAGTTTGTGATTCTAAGTATAGGGCCATTTGTCTACACCAAGTCCCATTTATCTAGATTTCTAGATTCTATCCCCCCGTACCCAGGAATATGCACACATAAGTGCATAAGCGTGCACCGAGTTCCCACTAGAATACTGAGACATGCAAGTCTACAGATTTGACTCTAAACCCCCTAACCCATCCTCACACACTTTATCTCTCTGTTTCTACTCAGCTTATGGGATTGGTATCAGTGACCACCTCCACCCCCCCCCACACACACACACCATAATCCCTTTCCCCTCTAGGGTTGCAAGAACTTCTAGTCAAAGCCCACTGTGTCTCTTGGGCTGGTGTTAGCTCCAGTGGGGAGATGATTTGCCCCCTACATGGAGCCTGCATTTCTGAGGGTGCTCAGAGATCTGTTAGCAAACTGCCAGAAATTGTTCAGCTGGAAAGGCTGGATCAGGAAAGGGGGATGTGGAGGAAGGGAGATTGCCTTGCAGTTCCTATAGGAATTTTTAAAAATAAAAAACAAAACCTCATCAAAGAGGCCTCCTATGTGGTTTTGTTTATAGGCCAAAGGGGGAAAAATCCTTTGGATAAATGAGATCTTTCTTCCTGGCCCCTAATGCTAACCTTTTTTCCCTCTGAGAAAATGACCCTGAGACCAGGCCCTTCCTTCTCCAGTAGTCACAAAGCCCTATAGCCAGAGGCTGGAGGGCTGAAGATGACCTTCAGTTTCGGTGGGGGAGAGGGGTTGTTTATAAACCCTATTGCCACTCTCCCTGGGAGCTCCATAGCTTTTTAAAACAAGTGAGGGTTAGTAAGACCCCAGACTCAGCTTCAGGGAGGATTTGGAGCACCAGATGACTGGGGTTTTCAGTCCTGAACCACCAAGTTCTCTCCCTGACTCTTCCCCCCCCCCCCAACCTGGCTTTTCCAAACTCTCAGGCAGAAAAACTGTTTCATTATCTCCATCACATAGATTTTTAAGCCTGAATAGATAGAACCTTACAGGTGATCCAGAACAACCTCTTCATTTTTCCTGATAGGGAAATTGAGGCCAAGAAAGGGCAGATAATCTCTAGATGCCTAGAGTCACACCTGAAACCTAAGGCTTTTGTCTCCAATTCCAGTGCTCTTCCATTCCCCTGGTTAATACCATTATGACTGTTCTTTTTTTAATCACCTTTCTCCAATTCTTAGCTCTCAGATCAGAAAGGTTAGATTGAGGGTGATTTTTGAAAGGAAGAAGGCAGCAACTGGTATTAGACATAAAAGGAGGCAAAGGGACTGAGAAGACATGCGTATCTTTACATGGAGATGGGATGGAATGGGGTGGGGGGAGGCAGACCCTTCTGGCCCCTAAACGTGTCACTTTCTCCACACGAAACAACAGAGCAGGTATAACTTGGGGGAGGGAGTGATATTCTTCTGAAAAGTTTCAACCAGATTTCCCCAAAAGACTGAGGGAAAGTTCTGTCTTTCACTTGGAGGAAAGGGTTCCATTTAGGGAGTGAAGTCTCTTCCAACCTGGAGTGTCAAGACACTACAGGGATTCTCAGGATTTCAGCTTATGTGGTGACTGTGATGGGGTGGGGGTAGGGGGAAAGGTTCCCTGTCCTATGAGGGAACCCAGGGAAACATGGCTTCTTAATTTTCAATCTGGTTGAAAGGAAAATATAAAGAAACCTGGTACTGGCCTGGGAGTTTGGCCACTGCCCGGACATCTCCAATTAATGGCCCAAACTGGCGTCCAACTGTCTGGAGGGAGGTCAACCTCCCAGCCTAGGCCCTCGGGCTCCCTGTCCAACCTTTCTCAGTCTGAGCTCCCCAGAGAGAGGAAGGGACAAAGGGTGCCCTTGGCTAAAACTACTGCCCGGCACCTTTAGGTACTCTCCACTCGAAGGGAGAAGCCAGTCTTTGGAGCTCAGAACAGTTCCATTAGTGCTGCCAGACTCTAATGGGAGCTTAGCTGGAATCTTCAGTCCCTACCAGTCTCCTTGCTCTCCTTCCCCTTTTCCAAAACCAGATCTGAGCACCTCTGAGGGCTTTGTGTCTCCTGCTTTTTCGAGGTCCTTCTCAGGCCCTTCAACCCGAGAGATGAAGTAGTTTGAGAAGGTCAGCTAGGTCCACAAGTCCTGGACTCAGAACTACCTTCTTCCTGAACTCCGGGCCGAAAACAGTAGCAGCGGGTGATAGGCACAGCATGGGCACCTGGAGCCCTGGGGCCTCTAAGAGCGCCTAAGGGAGAGGTGTCCACCTCTGAGCCTTGCAATGTATGAACGTAATGGAGAACTCCTGGCCATCCCTGGGGTTAGGTGTGCATGGCCACAATCTGAGACACCACTGCCAGTCCCTCGATTTACTGAATGAAATCCTCAGGCATCGTCGACAGGCCTCTGCAGCTCCGCAAATGAAGGAGTCGGGAG